CGAGGTGGGAAGCGGGCTGGTGAGGGGCCGCTCAGCATCGGCTCCAGGAGGGCTCTGCTGCTGAAAAGGGGGCCTAGACGGTGACGTTTGCTGGGTTTATGCTGCTTGTGCAGCTGGGAAAGCTAGAAGTAAAATAGAAACGAATTTTTAATTTCTTTAATGTATTTATAAGTCTTGCGTGGCAGTTCTCTTACTGTGTAAGTGGTAAAAGCAGCCCCTAAGCTACACGCGCAGTCCTGGAACCCAAGCCAGGATGTTAGTGGTGACCTGGGTTATTTGAACCAGGAACATCCCCTTTACAGCCTGGCAAGATCCCAAGTTTGTCATGGCTGGTGGGCAGGAGGATGCCTGTACAATTGCACAATCGGCCAGCTTTCCTGCAGCTTTCAAACAGCGCAAGGAACCATCCCCCACTTTTCTGTAGCTCTTCAACAACGTAATCGTTCTCTGGAGGGATATTTCTTCTTCCCACAACGTTGTCCTGAACGGGGCAAGAGGGGGGTGGGGATGTACGTGCACAGAATGAGAGGTGTTGCAAACAGCACCAGGGGCTTAACTCAAAAGGCACAAGCACAACTGGATTGTGTGGGTGCTGGGATATTAGAACAGGGCGTTAAAGCTATCATGCAATGAGGTATCTTAACAACAAAACGCACAACTAATAGTGGATAAGGGGTAACCATTTAAATGCCAGCAACTTATTAATAGGTCTTACACTAAATCTAGAACTCTGTTAGAGTCACCAGCCAGATCTGGTTTCTAGTTATTCCAGACTAATTCCACCTGTATCCAATAAAGTTAGGGTACGCTCCCAGGAAAAAGTGCTGCAAGGTCATGTTTCAAAAATCATATCTGGGCCGCTCAGTTGCACATATTTTCATGCTCTTCTATTTGTGTGATTCAGTAATCAATAGATACAGCTGTGATTCATCTCAACAACATATTTTCCAAGGAAAATAATACTTTAAAAAAAATAAAATCACAGCAAACCATGAAAATTATTTATTTTTTTTTTAGAGAGACCAGTAAAACCAAGTTGTTAATTTCAAAAACATGCTTTAAAAAGCTGAATCAGCATTGTTTGATCTACTAAAGCAAAACATTGAGGGTAAGGTGTTAAAATGCAAAAGGGAAAAGAATGCAAAAGTCTTAAGTTACACAATTTGAAAGTAGGTGTAATTTGCTTGCATTAGAACACACAGTGTTTCTGTGCATGTCAGTCATTTTCTTCATGGCAGCAAAGGTTCAGAGCTTATAATGATATTCCCCATACAACTATAATATGCAGTGGCTGACGTGTATAAATTGGTAATTAAATATAAAGGAATAAAATAAAAAAAAAAAGATAACAAGCAGTATACAGTATATATTCCAATACTGGCATGTTCAAGTGGTGGAAATCTCTGGAGTCTCTCATTTCAGCCGATCTATACCTCCTACTTCATTGTTATGTTGGAAACCATTCACATGATCTTACTCTTAAAAATATTATTTTTCTTTGACAAAGTCAATAGAAAGACTTTACATTTTCTTGCCCAGAACAATCTAAGCATTGGAAGTGTCCATATGTTTTACATAGGCTTGAAATGAACCTGTTCAAAAGTTTCATTCAATGCATAAACAATCTATCAATTAACTAAAATAGTTTTAATTTTATGAAGGGAAAGAAATATTTGGCCTGTAGACTGAAACACTCCTATTATCCCAGTAGGATTAACTTGTCTAAATATTACAAACGACGTTAGGCACTGCTGGTTGCAGTTTTCAAAAATAGTGAGTACTAGTATTGGCTTTGTTGGTAACTACAGGCACGTTATGAGATAGCAGTGCGCTCTAAGAAGGAGAATTAGCAAAGTCACCAGTCCAGAGAAATGCAGCTGCTGCACCAAGGACACCATCTGAAGGAATGAATACCTGAGCTAAAATGAAACATACTCATTTACTCCATTACTATTTTCTGCAGGGCACAAAATGTGCTCGTGACCTTCTGAGCAAGATCCCTGGCCCTGCAGATAATAGGGGCTGGCTGTGACAAAGCTGCATGGGGAGTTCAGTGTCTAATTGCCAGATCAGGCATCCACTTTAAACTTCTGTGAGCTGCTGCTACCTAACCTTTTAAATGTGACTCTGCTTTGGAGCAGGAGCAAAACCATGTCCTGACAGAAGCAGATGTCTACATCTCAATCATGTTATGAAACTGTTCTGTATTGCCTGGAGGTCTCAGGCTGGTAGAAAGGCAAAATGATGGGGCACTTTAGGGGAAATTGTCTGATTTGAGTATTTGAACTATGGCCAAAGACAACTCTTGGGTGTTTTGTTCTTGGGAGGCAGGAAGTGCTTCTGTCTGAGTCACAGGAGAGCCTTTGCCTCAGGTGCTCCTTGTCTTGAACAGTGCTTGGTTTTCTGGTTGGGTTACAGTGTTGTGTTGCAAGGGAGGGCTTTGATCCAGTAGAACGTATGTAAGAGCCCGTCCTGAGCTCTTCCACCAAAACCTGTGTGCTCTGTGCTCTCTCCCAGGAGTGAAGCAGAAATGGGGGCTGTACCCAGCAGGTGTCCCATCTCCTCGCTGAGCACATGTGGAGAGGGCTTCAGCAGGAGGGCAGGAGACAAGCCCAGTCTTGTGACTCCCCACAGGCAGGTGGGGAAGGTGCACCCACAATTCTAAAGCTTGCTTCAAATCAAGTAGGATTTGAGTGCCAGGCCTCCTTCCTGATAACCCTACACACTGCTAGGAAATGTGTGCTGCTTTTTTTTTTTTTTTTTTCCCCTTGGTCAGGAATGCTTGATTTTGGTAAGCAGTCTCACAGCTGGGAATCCTGAATGGAATTACTGCATACTGAACTATCTTTGATGATGGGGATGAAGACCAGGTCTTCTCCTCAACATTTTCTTCTGATAAAGTGAGGGTCACTGATTAGGTCTTGTGAGACCACAGGACCTGTAAATACAGAGTCACAGAATCATCATGGTTCGAAAGGACCTCTGAGATCACAGAGTCCAACCATCAACACACACACACACACAAAAAGACAAGAAACCTGATCAAATTCAGTCTTCAGTTAGCAGTAGTCAGTAGGACACCAAGAAAAATGTTCAACCTGCTGGAAGCAACTTTGGGAGAGAATGAAACCATTGTGACCCTGTGGATGGTCCATGTGCTCACCACATTTAAGCACTGGAATTGTAAATGCTAGAGCCTTTATTCAAGGCCAAGTTTTCACTGGCAGCTGGGGCATATGAGTACTTGTCTGTTGCTGAGGCAAACCAGATGTTTTCAGCATCTCCAGGGAAATGCCAAGCAGCACTTTACTAGCACTGTCCTGGGTAACAATGGGTTGGTTATCTGTCCTCTTCTCCACATGCCCTTTAATTTGTCCTCACCTCTTGTGGACCTCCTGTGTTTTATACACAATCACAGAACTAAACTGATTTAAATGGTTTTTGATCTCTCCACATGCAGAGGGTCTCCCATGACAAGGAAACAAGTAAAAGATGGAAAGTTCTGATGTAATAACCTACACAGGCCCTCATCTTCTTCTGCCCTCATCTAGGAAGAGTTTGGCAAAACTGACTGAATTGCTGTGAAAATGTTTCCCTATCAGAAGTAGTGAAAAGCAGATACAATTTCTGTCTATCGAGCTTGTAAACACTAGTTTAAAAGTGTTTTCCATCACCTTAAAAAATGAGAAACTTGGAATATGTTTCTTTGCTGTACTCCACAGTTCCACAAAGAATCTTTGTTTTCTTTCAAAAATGCATGTCTTTTGTAGGTTCCTAAGCTGAATGTTAAATTTATAAGAATTTAGTTTATTTTTTTAAGATTGAGCTATAGCTGTTATGAGATGCATTTCTGTGCCCCCCTTGTTTCAGCAGGGCTGCTTTGTTTTGCCTGAGAACAATTTGATAAAGATCTAGCCGTGCGCTTTCATTTTCTTCCTTGTGATGGAGGAGCAGAACCATAACATTAGTCAGCAGTTTTTGAATTTTGACCCACAATGGCAAAGATACCGCAAGACAGGAGAAATAGATGGAGGCAATTACAGACAGTCACTTGATTGATGGTTGACATTGTTAGAGCTTCAGCTGTATGTCAGGTTGCGGTGGTGCCGAATCCCCATCCCTGCCGGTGGGTGTTGCCATGGGCAACAGTGCGCTGAAGCCAATAAAAAGGGGAGGAAATGAGGGGAGACTCAACCTTGGGGGAAGCTGTAGGGTAGGCACTGTAAATTATGTTATACTTAGCAATAGGCAATATCAAAATTCAGGAAAGCCGCATGTACCTGCCAGCAGTACTATGTCTGCTCCTGGTATGTGTTTCTCCCATAAATAATGTATTGTAGGTTTTGTATGGCTTGCTGGTTACTGTCCTGCCTCTGTCTTTATTCTAGAAAGAAAGAAGTAGTAAAATAATAGTAGAAACATTTTCATTGGTGCCTGCATTCGCTGCTGTGCAGTCTGCATTTCTGCTCCTTCCCTGCTTTTTTCTGCTAGAGAAAGTAAGTGGTTCAGTTGAGTACTAACAGATCGGATTGCAATGGTACCGACATTTCCTGCTATTCTCTTATACCCATGATTAGCAGTAGCACGGAGGGGTTTGGATTTGTTGTGGGTTTATTTTAAAGAGGTCTTGTTGTTTCTCTTTCGTTGTCAGGCAGATGTAGTCAGCTTTTGGAAGGTGCTAACGACTCACTTTCCTTAGAAAGGAAAGCTCTTTTTAGCATCTGGTCAGACAAGCCAGGTCCTGTTTTCCTTTAAGCTGATGGCAGTTCAAGGTAATTCCACTGAAGTAAATGGAGTTTGGCACAGGTGTAAAACTAAGCTGAATTCAGCTTTAATTTCTGCTGCCAGACAACCCTATATTTAGAATCCCATTTTTCATGGAATGCAAAGGGTATTTTTCCCTATGAATGGGAACTCAAAAGCACTGCAACATGACTCCTCTCGTGCCCGGTCATGCAGCAGAGAAAGCACCCTCAAATCATAGATCACAGTTTTGCTACGCTAGTGATCTCTGCACTAATGGAAAGAGAACAACTTTCAGGTAATACAAGTGTCATCACACTGAACTCATTTGGTTTTGTGACCTATTACTTTTGATTAGATTTTTACAAACACCTCTACCACAAATGTCTGCATGTGAGCCTTCTCACATGCAGTACAATTTCACTACTAACAATAGCATCTCAAATTGTACTGAAAGAACTTAGAAGTAAGAGTTAGTCAGTCCACTATGATTATATTCTTCCTTTCCACCATCTCAAAATATTAAACTGAAAACTATAATAGAAAGGCTTATCTGTGGTCCATTTTTCAATGTAATATAAATGTGAAGCACAAGGCAACAGATTTCCTGTTTTATTTGTATTCTAATTAAAGCTCATAAATCTTTTCCTTAAGGGGAGCTAATTAATGAAAAAAATGAAGTGTTAAAGGAGCATTTTTTAAAAGAAAAAAACCCACAAGTCTAAAATTACCATGCAATATTTTGCCTTTATGCCCTTGCTGAGAAATTTACTGCATTGTTAATATGAATTTCTCAGGGAAGCAGGGACAGGTTGGTGTCTTTAAAGATAATAAAGTTTGTTTTTAAATGTAGCAAAGGTAGGCAATTCTAAAGGCCCTGATCAATCACTAAGAAGCTTTGTTGTAAAAAAATACTTCTTTAGAATACAAAGCAGGCTTTTCAGAACATCCAGGCATAAAAGAGGAGAGAAGAGTGAGAGAGGAACATCACAAAAGCAGGCGTAATCGATTCATAACATGTACTGAAGAGATGCAAAACAACAATGTAATTACATACTATTCTGTTTTCCTGCAGCTCCTTGCATATGAATTGACCAGCTTGTATCCCAGTTCTGCTCTGTATTATTAATTTTATTAAGCTGTAAGTTCTTATATTTCAGTCTGTTGTCAGCTTTACAGATTTTTACAGCAGCAGTTGAAATGTAGTGGAGCTGAATGAATGCTTCTTGTGCTAAGTCTTCCATGTCGCTCCAGATACCAGCACAGTCTCACCACAGGCCTTCTTTTCAGTCCCTCTAGACATGCCAGTAAAAGCAAACTAAGCTCCCATCAAGATGATATCCAATCAATTAAGTATGTCTGTGAAAGCATTCATTTAAGAAATAGTGGGCCTAAGCTTACAACAGCCTGTCAGAGAGCTCTTATCGTAAAGTGACCCTGACATTTGCAGGCTTAATTTATGTCTTTGAGGGACATGGTAAAGCTAGAGGAAAAGGAGGCCGAGGATGCTGCCTGAGAAGGAAGTCTTTTTTGGTGCAGCTCCTCCCATTTACCTCTATTTACTGTCACAGAGTCCAGCATAGGCTTCAGTTTCACATTCAGCTTCACTAGACACTGGAAGAAGATTAGAAAAAAAAAAAAAAAAAAAGGAGGAGACTTTGATCGGCTTCCCTAGACACTGGAAGAAAATTAAAAAAAAAAAAAAAAAAAAGAGGATGAGAGAAAAAAAAATGACAATATTTCCACTCCTTTGTGGGACAGTCCAGGGAGTAACAGGGTAAAAAGAGTTGAATCTGCACCATACCCCCCACCCTCCTCACCCCCAGCTCTGAATTCCTGTGTAGGTAAAGCTTATTGTTCTCATTGAGATCTCTTTATTTTATCCAGATGATAAAATCGCTGCATGCCTTTGCTGGGACTTTATTTTACCTCCCCCTTTAGAGTCAAATGCTCATGTAGAAAGACCACAAGTGCCTCACATTCTTTTGTCCCTACATTAGAGACAGAACCTCCTTGTACAGCAGCCCCTGGATGTGAAGAAAGGGTTAACCAGTGACCTCCCAAGCAGTCATGTACTGTGCCCTTTCAGGACAGAGAAGGATTATGCTGTTGCAGCTTTTTTTGATTAGCAAGAAGTGGGTTATGCTGAGAGTTGGGTATCATGCTTTTTCTGATAGCATGCAAACTATGTATTTGTTATTGGAAATGAAGGGTTGGTGTAAGATTAAGAAATAATGACAGAGAAGGCAAAAAGTTCATCTAGAAGTGCAGAAAATTACAAGGAAAATAAAGGGGAAGCAGGTACCTTTGCAGTTGATAATTTTCATTATTTGCTTTAAATAGCAGGATTAACAGCAACCACTTTAATAGTCCCTAGGGCACAGACACAGCACTAAAGAACTGGATTTTTTTTATAGCTAGTCTGCAAGCCATGGGAGCTTGGTTAGCTACTGGAGTAAGTCTTGGTAGATTTTTAATTGAGCTATTATATGATAATTAAGGGTTAATGGCCTGTTTTTAAGATGGGCTGAAAAATTGCAATTCAGTTGACTTCAGTAGGAATTATGAATGCTCAGTAATTCTGAAAAATCATGCCATGAGTAAGTAGCCAATTTGTGTGAAACTTGAAGCAAATCCACTTGAAATTCTTTTCTTAAAATATGGCACAGACTGGGCAGAAAATTTTGCAACCTGGGCCTGGGGTAAGAGGCAAGACTTCACTGCAGTTGCTGGCACATCTAGTATTGCTTGCTGGTGGCGATCACTCATTTGGTAGAACAGACATGGATTCATAACATTTCCATCACTGTGCCTCAGAGCTTCTCATTTTTAGCTCTTTATTTCAGATCACTGTGTATTCCTCAAACCTGATTTGGCGGAGTCCAAAACAGAGGAGCAGTAATACATCACAAAACACTTGAAAAAAACACCTGAGAAGCTCAGTGCTGCTGTCATTAGCGTCTGTATTACCACTGCCAACTCAGTGTCAAGAGGTAGCACATTAGATATTCAGCTCTTGACAGCAATTTATCAGATCTGTTCTGTGCAAAGCCAGTATCCATCCACTGGCAGTTAAGCTTACTGGTATTCCTTAATTAATGAAAAAGTTTTTGTGAAGTATTTTTTGAATATACGCTTTAGATTAAAAAAAAAAAAAAAAGTTTTAAAATCAGAGTTTAAAAATCAGTGTATTTCAAACGTCTCTAAGCACAAAGGCAGCATTCTGCACTCACACCCTGTCAGCCCCAGATCTGAAAGGCATTACTGGCTGTTTCTCTCATAAGTGCTATACCAGCATCCTATACCTGCTACAGGCAACGTAGAGGGGAAGGAGCTCATTGAGACACTGGACTCTGTCTCAGTAGGGGTCGACAGCTCTAGCCTCTATGTGTTGTTCTTTCAATACTATTTTGCCAAGACCACAAGACCTTGATATTTTCAACCCCAGTGCCAGGGAGCACATGTAGCAGTCTGGGCATGACTTACTGCTGTCCTGACCCTCCAGGGCTGGGCAGATGCCACAGTGTTATGGTAGGAGACAGCCCTCTCATGTACAGTGCCAGCAGGACTGTGAGTGTTTAAGCTGCTTAGATCAGTTAGCTTTGTATTGACTACAGCAGAGACCAGAAGCCTAGGTAGGTTGGGAATGGAATCAAGAAGTACCCACACAGTTCTATTGTAATCACTGTATCTCATGAGATGTAAACACATTTTAAATCTAAAAGTAATTACATATATTTCTTAGAAATATATACCTGAGTGCATATTACAGAATCTAATAACCCAGGAGCAATAGATGTTGCCAAGTAAATAACAAGAATGGTTAACTAATAACATTAACTTTGATGAAATAAATTAAAAGGAACATTTAAAAAAGAATAAAACATGTCTTTAATATTCAGTTTTACCATAGCACAAGCAATTAATTCTATGGAATACTTAATAAATATATAGTGTAATTTTCAGAAACTTCATTTAGTTACACATTAATTTAGGTTAGGGATACTCGACAGTGCAGATTTTGCACTTGGTCTATAAAATATCTTTATTCAGACATCGATTTGATGTTTAACCAGTGCTTCTGTATTTAGTATCCATTCACTTTGGGACCCTTTCATTCTGATCTAGTCTTTTAATTAAACCAACTACTATAATTCCTATGGAAATTAGCCTTTATTTTATTTTTTCCACCTACCAAGGCATTTCAGTAGGAATTTTCTGATAAAAAGTACACAAATTGGATTTTATTTCTGCTTGAGATGTAATTAAAAACCCACTTGATTACTATATATCTGGCCCTGTTTTAATTATTAAACTCCAGTAATCAATTTTCTTTTATGAAGCTTCTGGGAAATTATCTCAAAAGCAACACATTTTTCTACCTTCTGGCAGACCATTTACTGAATTACATTCATAGCACCTGTTCCTGATCCGGATTAAACCACCAATTAATGCCCAAAGCTATTTAAGTTTATTTGGCTGCAGCCGAGGCAGGGTTTTCTATTTCCTGGCTCCACTTCTTACTTTCCATCTTATTGCATGAAAATCCCCTGATGTACTGCTCCTCCATGCTGCTGTTTTTGCTGCATGCCTCCTACGAACAGCTTTGGATACCACTTTGGTATCCAACTTCTTAACCTCCAGTTTATTATTTGCTGTAGTAGGAAGAGGCTTGGTCTTCAACAGCAGTCTGACATAGGGTACCACCACATAAACTCACAGCTCCAGAAACTCCCATTTTCCTTGTCCCTCCTTGGTGCAGCAGGCAGGCTGGAAGCTGGCAGGCAGCATGGGGGTGAGGGAGCCCCTGCCCAGGGGAGCTCCTATCTCTCCTCCTGGGACCACAATGCCCACTTGAAGTCCTTCCACTGCAACGCAGCTGCCTTGCCACCCAGCAGTAGGTACAGGATTGGTGACCTTTCTTATTTTTATCCTCTTTGCTGCAAAAGCTGTTCTTAATTGTAGAGTGATAGAGGAGCCTGCCAGCTGCTGTGTGCTCTGGCGTTAGGAAAAGCCAGGTAGGTTTGCAGTTCACTTCTGCATCCATCGACTATCTCAGATGTGTGACTAAGCTGTTTTTCAGAAAGTTACTGTGTAGCAATGACTTTTTATTACTACCTTCAATAATTTAGGTGTCTTTTGTGACTATGTACTTCCCTGTACACTTTCACAAGGCATAGCTCCCCTTACATATGAGCCCTTCCAGTAGAAGAAAAGGTTCAAGGCACTTCAGCAATACATTATGCACACCTGGGAGAGGAACAGGGCTGCCTGAAGGAAGAATGCAAAAGGGGGAGTGCATGAGATACTCAGAGGAAGCTATTTATGGGAGAAGGTTGGAGGGAAGAACGTTTTTTTTTCATTAGTTATAGAGCTGTTGTTCCTAGGTATATTTTGCTAGCTAAATCATAGAGAATGAAGAAATAGTAAAAGTAGCAACAAATGCCTTCAGGAAGAGGATGATGAGTATCAGTGGAGGGATTTGTTGGGAGAGCTACCTCTTAGGTTGAAGGGTGATGCCGTGCGACAGACCTTGATCTGCCACCTCACCTTCATCTCTGGGAAAGCATGTTACCTAAAAAGCCAAGATGCAGCACAGATGTGGCGAGAGACTAAAGCATTGCTAAAGCAAATAGAACATTTGGTTGTATCCTAAGACTAATACAAAATCCTTTTAAAGAGGAGTATGGTAAGCCCTAGCTTACGAACACTGCAGGATGTCCAGTGTATACTTTCTTTTTTTCCTCTCTGGAGATTCTCATGCAAATATTGACCAGTTCTGACCTTGCTTAACTTATGAGCTTTGACAAAATTACAGCTCATGGAAGTATGGTCTAATATTTGTAAAGTGAGTTTATGGAATAAGACCATATAAATTTGTTTTTATGACTGAGCACATATCAAAAAGTTATAGGTCTCAGTGTTCACTATACTTTGGAACGCAGTGGTTTGTAATGAATCACTTTTATTATATAGGCAGTTTCTGAGTTGGAAGGGAGGACTAGTGACCGAGAAGCCATAGGGATAAATTCAGACCTGGTATAAGCATATGAAGCATTGCTAAAGTCAAGAGAGTCATGACCAGTTACAGCAAAGCTGAATTGGACTCCTGAGTTTTGCTGAAGTGGCTTTCACATAAGAATACATAGGGCAAAGGTAAGCCATCTGTCTGAAAGTCCTTCAACTTCAGATTACTTCATATAAAAGGGAACCTGTACTGCAGTCATCCACAGGTTTGATCTTCATAATGCAAATCCTTGATCAAAGTTTTGAAAATCCAAAAGTATTTCTGTATGTATGACTGTATACTAAAACAAAAAAATCCTGCTAAAAATCTGCCCTCTGTAAGTAGAATACAGAAGATAAAGCAATACAGAGAAGATCTACTACTACTAGAAGATCTACTAGATTAACTACTATGATTGAGTTTGTATATGAATTATTTACCCTACTGATTCAAGGCCATTTTTAATCCTTATGATCCAGAACAAAATACTGTATTTGGATTGAAGCTGAGTTCATGGAAAAAAATAAATTTGTGCAATCTCTGCATAGCTGAAGGAGACTATTTTTTCCTTCTAGGGGTCCAGGTGGTCAAGTACATACTGCATCAG